CGCCGTCGGAAATTATTTAACGGAGTAATTATAGTTGGAAAATATTTTAACGGGAGATCTCTGAAACATGCGGGGATTTGTGCAATTATGCTAAAAGATGCAGGCTCAAATGTTATTTAACACCGACCCCAGCCTGGGCCGAGCACGTACTGTTTACACCAATAAAAACACGAAAACACCAAAACTATACTATCGGCACCGCTAAAGCACGGCTAGCACAGTAATATCACGAGCATCACCAATTTTTAAGACTGACCACCGCAATAGTACGTCCTGCACCAACCATAATTCAATCGCTAATTTTGCCCAATCCCCAGCCTGATCGTCACAGAAATATCGTCCAACGAGCGCAGTTCCCCGGCGAGGGGGGGTTAAGGCAAGATCATTTTCCAACCAGCCGCATCAAGCTCATTCTTCCAGCTCCTTCATTTTGAAATGACCATTCGACACCCCTGGCAGCTTCTCGCCTCAGCAATGCCATGCGTCCAGGCAGCGAACCTTCTGGATGGTTTCAAGCAGACTAGGGTGGCGAAGAGTGAGCTGGCCCCGTGCTCCGTATGCATGGCCCCTGCCCCGCATCCCATGAGAATTCAGCGCCTGTTTTGCGCGTGCAAGGCTTGCGCTGACGTAACGTCGGCACAATAGTGTCCGTGGCGAGCCCGGGTCATGTCCTGTCAAGAGCAAGGCTTAGTGACGGTCGAGGAGGCATACACCCATGCCACTTCAGCACGCTCGCCACGCAAGCTGGTGCTGACCCCACCAATGAAGGAGGTGGTGAAGGACTGGGCAGCCCAGGGACTGAAGCCCAAGCGCATCTATAATGCACTTCTTCAGCGTTTCAACCTGACCGAGGCGACTGCGCCCTCTCTATCAACTGTGCAGCGTTTTGCGCATCACCATGTTACGGGACGGCTTGGGGGAAGTGACCTTCTGGACTCCGTACGCAGAAAAATCAAGGACTCAGGGTTTACGGGACACGAAGATGAAGCAGCTCCGTTCACATTCACAAGCCGCAGTGATACAGACGGTAAGCCAATCACTGGCAATGGCAGTGACGCTGATCCGTTTGTGGTCGGTGTTAGCTCGAAGAAACTCCTACGCCGTGCCGACCGTGATCCAGAGTCTTTCATCTTTCACTTGGACGCGACCTACAAGCTCACGCAGGTCGGGTATCCAGTTATCGTTGTCGGGATTTCGGACAGGGCAAGACGATTTCATTTGTTGGCAATATTTATTGTCTCGCAACAGCAGCAACTACACTACACCGAGGTGCTTGCGCTCGTGTGTAAGATGTACCAAACCATAGTTGGTAAATTTCTCCGGGTACGCTATGTGATGGGAGATGCTGACGCAGCCCAATGGAACGCGGTGAACGACGTGTTTGGGCAAGAGGGGGAATTTGTATTTCTGATGTGCTACTTTCATGTGGCAAAGAAGGTATACGAGAAAACTCGCTCGTTGGGGTCTGTTGCGGCCTCCTCTGTCATGAAATACATTCATGAGCTCCATTTCTCGACGGATGAGGCGGCCTACAGCTCGAAGCTAG